AATAATAAAGACTGAATATGGTAAATTTAGTTATCCGCATTTTCCATGCTGGTTACTGTTAGTATTTAGTATTTGCATGCGTGCGTGTGTGTTATTTTCACTGGATGCTAGGCTACATGTGGATGTGATGTTTATAATAAAGAAAAATTTTGGTCAAGTGGCTGCTGAAGCTGTGAATTCGTGTGTGTTGAATCTGACATGATATTTCTCGAGCAGCCATAACCTGACAACGTTTTCTGTGATTTTATATTTCAGGTCATTTCGGTTGCGCCTCGCCGCATTTGTTGGCTGAATGATGTGTAAGTATTAATAGTAGCAATAAGGTAAATGATGCATGTGAATGTTATTGTTTTATCAAAATTTCATTGTTTTAATTTTACATTAGAATTATTAAATATCCTAGTTACTTCATATGTGCATTAGTTTACGCCAGGACAGCAGACTCCAACATTACCAGTATAAATAAATCAATTAATACATAAATGATGTTTATATACTCTCATCAGGTAAATGATTGATGACTCACAATGCCTCAGACGACAGCTCTCCGATTAAAGAAACGGCTAAGAGTAAAGGTATTTGTTCATTTACTAGTTTCCGCATCACATAACACCCTGAAATTGGATATAATGGATTAATTATGTATTATTGTATATGAATTAATATGATATATATCATACTATATATATTAATTATTGATAATTAAAATATTGAGTATATAATAATTTATATCTAGAGTTATTAATCTTAGTGATAATATACTAATACAGATGTGTTTATTTATACAGTAGACTTGATATTGACATTTCCATGTAGAATCGCTGACGGCCCACCACTCCGATTAAAGGCCGGAACTGCTAAGAACAAAGGTAGGCCCCTATTTATTTATTTACTAGTTTCCGTATCACAAAACTCCCTGAAATTGGATATAATTGACGTATCATTGATTATATATTAACATATATCGAGATATCGAGTTTTTTTTAATTATTCAAATTTTTCTATGCTGGTTACTGTAATGTTATAAGGACAGCCGAGAATTGCCTCAGCTATGCAAGCCTAATTAAGTAAAAACTCACTTTTTATTTTATTTCACGTTTTGTAAACGTTGCTCTTAAGCTTACATGTTTGATTAATTTGAAAATCATTCCACTTATTATGTCATTAATCGATGTAATATTTTCCCTCATAGTTATTTATATGAAAAATCTTTCTCTTGACGTAGTGCGAGAATCTCTCCTACACCTTGGTAGAGGCATGCCGCAGAAGAGAAGCAGGAGCGGAGGATCGAGGTAGAGGGAGCATGATATACGCACGCCGATTCGTCTCGGGTGACTTCCAAGACAAACCATCGTAACCGACGGTTACAGTACTTTATACTGATATTCCACGTGTTTTTAGAAAAATTTGTTGTATTTTATACTAATCTTTTATTGTAAGTTCAGTCCCATATGTATGAGCATGACTGTGGTCTCGCGTTTTATGTCTACGCCTGCGGCCCGTTGTCAGAACAACTAGCACTAGAACTAGAACAACTAGCACTAGAACTAGAACAACTGGCTATAGAACCATAGCAACTAGTTCTAGAACTAGAACAAGTAGCACTAGAACAACTAGCAATAGAACTAGAGCAACTAGCTATAGAACTAGAACAACTAGCTCTGGAACTAGAACAAATAGCACTAGAACTAGAGCAACTAGCTCTGGAACTAGAACAACTAGCTCTATAACTAGAGCAAGTAACACCCTGTTTGTAATCCCATGCATGTGCGTTCACGATTGAAATGCTTTCAAATAAATATACTCCAAATGAAACGCCCGCGGCTTCTCTTTATATGGTGTTAATTATTCAAAGGCTATCAACAATACTTTTCTGAAAAATCATCAAAGAAATTGTAACATACACTGTTGAGAAGTTTGCGGTGCGGTGGTGAATGTACCTCGCCCTTGTTGATGACTCATTGTTGTTGTCTGGCGGTGTTGACATTAACACTGACCTTGACCAAGACCTCGTGAATGCCATGGCCTTGAGCTCAAGGTAATGGCCTTGACCTACTTTTTAATTGTTAAACGTTTTTCATAAGTAGGTCATGGCCTTGAGCTCAAGGCCATGGCCTTGACCCACTTTTTTAAGTTTTAAAAGTTTTAAATAAGTAGGCCAAGGCCATAGCCTTGAGCTCAAGGCCATGGCCTTCACCACTTTCAAAATATTTACATTATCAGGTGAGGATCCTTGCCAAGGGCAAGGTCAAAGTATGTTTACATTTCTTCCAACGACAGTTTGGAAATATTTGACTTTGATAATTGCCTGGATTTGAACCCAGGATTATTGAATACAAGCCCGTTACGCTACGGACGGACCCAAACTTACCATTGCTTATATGTTCAGCTCGGATGTGTGTGTTATATTTAGCTTCACAGCAGTTAGAAAATATTTTACTATGGTAATTGGCAAGATTAGAACCCCAGACTGCTGACTAGCAGTCCAACACGCTACGCACACACCCAAACTTCCATTTCGTATTTTGTTCAGATCGTATGTGTATGTTATGTTTTCGTTTTATAAAAAGAAGAAAAACTAAACAAGGAATCTTGCCGTACACCTTTTAAGGCGAAGTTTTGTATTTATAAACGAAATCGAAATTCCCATTCAGTTCTCTCTGCGCAAATAATTTGCGATACACTGAACCGTGTTATATCTATAAAGTTACTAAGTTAAATATATACATTCGCTCGACGCTATATAATATAAAAGATATATTATATAATATTTGGTGCCCGCTTTCTGTGTCCCAATCCGCAAAAAATGACAAAATAAATGACAAAATAAATTTTGAAGACTAAAACACGTTACTTGTTTATATGCTTTAAGGATAGTTTTGCGTTAATACACTGCAATATATATTTGGGATTAAATATGAACATAGAAACGGGTTCATTTAAATGGTGTGAAAATAAACTGTACATGGCATTCTTTCTGTGATTAAACGGTAGAATAAACCCACAACTAATATGATAATTTCGGGTCACCAAAATCGTATATCATTACTTTTTTACCACAGCTTGAAAAGCGGGTATTTTTCACGAATACATAGCGTTTTAGTATATATATTATAGCTCCTTATGGACAAAGTACCCGGTAATGGCTAAGATGGGCATCGATTATTATAAAATCAATGGGAAAACGAGAAACACAACAGCATAATTTATTTACATATGACATCCCCGCGGAATCTACCGGAAAATAACAAACTATTCTAGATTGTCGCGTGTCACCAGTTCTTCACCAAACAGAAAATTCGGACAATTGATATTATATTACTTGTTAATAGAAGACAGTAATTGTATCAATAATCTCTTTTCACACACCCGCGCGCGACTACATTCACAGAACCACAGACCCCACGAGCGCAATCGCACAGACGCACGCACACATACACGTGCACGCACATGTCACCGGCACACATTAAACGCACAAGCGCACGCATACGCTCACGCACAGACGCACGCGCAACACACTCGCTCACACAAGCAAACGCACACGCACACGCACACGCACGCACGCGCACGCACGCACGCACACACACACATGTCATCCGCACACATTAAACGCACAAGCGCACACATACGTTTATGCACACATGCCCACACGCACGCGTGCACGCACACACGCACACACTCGCGCGCACAGACACGCACACGCACGTCACCCGCACACATTAAACACAAGCGCACACATGCCCACACGCACACGCACACACTCGCGTGTGCACAGACGCACTCGCTCACAGACACGCACGCGCGCACGCACACGCACACACACGTCAGCCGCACACATTAAACACACAAGAGCACCCATACGTTTATGCACACATGGCGACACGCACACGCGCATGCACACGCACACACACGTCACCCGCACACATTAAACACACAAGCACACACAAACGCTCATGCACATAATGCCCACACGCACGCGTGCACGCACACACGCACACACTCGCGTGTGCACAGACGCACTCGCTCACAGACACGCACGCGCGCACGCGCACGCACACGCACACACACGTCACCCGCACACATTAAACACACAAGCGCACACATACGTTTATGCACACATGCCCACACGCACGCGCGCACGCACACGCACACACACACACACACACATTAAACACACAAGCGCACACAAACGCTCATGCACATAATGCCCACACGCACGCACACACGCGCACACACACATACATAGACGCGCAAATCTTCCTAGTAGTTAACTTGCTAGTATAATAGAGCCGCTTTTGTCTAGGCTCGCTTCTGCTACTACTATATACAACTGTTAGTTACATATAACATTTGACAACGTGCGTTTAATATACAAACACAAAAATGAAATGTTTCAGCTGCAAACGTAGCTCTGCTGTTTTTTGAATTGCTAGTATGTCGAATCGTCGATGCTGCCTTACTAATGAATGATCCCGTCTATGATACTACGCTATTGCGGGATGCATGCTTCTACCTCTACGTCTTCTTCTCCTACGTTCTGACCGTAATGCAGCTTGTGTCAGTAGTGGAGCTCTGTAAAACAAAGGTTCCATTTAAAATTGATATTAAAATGTTCGCATTTGTGTACAGGTGAAAAGATTACACAGTATGTGACGAAATGCATATTTTTACTTGTATTTCGTTGTTTCTTAGAAGATCTGCGAATATAGTTAAAATATGCTGCGTGTAATACCTCTAAGTGTGATATAACTCTAGTGTATATCACCGGGGCAAATCCAGCAATTTGTAAATGCTATGTTTGTTATCAGACCACGTTATGAACCGTGAATGGAGATCCCGAGTACACTCCTCTTCTCAGATATAGCATGTAAATATCCAATGCACCAGGTAACAACTGACTGACATCTGCGTACATTTAAAGCCCTGATCTCTGATCACAGCATTTTTTTCGAGAGAACGCTCTTTACTCCAGGCGTTGGACGGGTACCTGTCAGTGTTATTAGTTGCATTCTTTTGCAGAGTCAGAAATAGTCAGGGCCCTTAGTGCAAAATATGGACCAAATCGTTACAGGAGTGACAAAAGTCTCAAACAGCCGCGCGTATATATTAGCCTATGCGCGATACCGTGCGTATATTTTTGGTAATTAATTAAACTATTAGTGCTTTAATAAACTCAAAATTTACAGAGACCATAGCTAAAACATGTGTTTATAGTGGGTCGGGGCCAGATGGCCCCCTTAGCACATATTTGCCAATATTATTTGCATTAAATATATATCTATAAACATTATATGGTTAACTTATAGCATGGTTTCTTGCCAATAAATTCTAGCAAATTATTTGATATTGCTCAATAATTTTTCTGGCTATGACCCCACCCCATGGGGCAGATGGGCCACAAATGGATTTTTAAAAAAAAAACTGGATGTACTTATTTGGGGGTAAAACAGGTCCAAAATACAATTTTTATGGACCTGTTGTGATTATTTTTTTGTTTACAGCCTGGCACATCTGACCCGCATTATAGTATTCTGTATAGCCCATCTGACCCCACATCCATGGACCATCTGACCCGCACCCTTGGGACACTACGAAAATGTGTAGAAACACTTTTATTCTTAGACAGAAATTTAATTAAACAATAGACAATAACAGAACAATGTTATTAAACCATAAACAAAAACACAACAGAGCAATGAACATACTAAAAAAAAATTTTAAAAAAAATAATAATATACATCAAAATTGGGGGGAGTCAAGTGCGGGGCAGATGGGCCATTGTATTGCACAATTACATCAAAGTACTAATGTTTAATTGTAAATTTTAATTTAAAAAATTAATTTTCTCGAAATTTATTTGAATCCATATTAAGACTTAGTGTTCTTTTTTATATTATTTACACAGTTGTATTTACTTTCGGTTTACTATCAATTCGTAATCACAAATTTCCTTGGCCTACCCCATAATCCCAAATCACAGTCATCACAGGCCACCATGCTTTTTCAATTTGCTGTGATTTTGGCAAAAGACAATGATTTCATTCTTAACCTCTTTTAAAATGTTAGTATCATTATATGTTGTTATAATATGGCGCCTGAAACCTTTATTGAACTGCTAAAAGTAAACATTTGCCTCTCTGAACTTTAGAAACGTACTAATGGGGAAAAAAGCATCAAAATTCTTACCCCAAAAACAATCCATGCGACACTGTCACCTTGAAACTGCAAAGAATTTTTCTTAGATTTTGTGTACAGACGCCTATACCAAACACAGTTTATTGCGGATATAGTTTCCCCTGTTGATAATAGATGGCAGCATGTTACAGGGATGGTGTCCCATCTGACCCAATGGCCCATCTGACCCAATGGCCCATCTGACCCAATGGCCCATCTGGCCACGACCCACTATATATGTATCTAGAATTTTAGAAAATGTAACTCAAATCGTTCGCGAGATATTAGAGTTAGTACACTATCCTACGGGCCATAGCCGCGCGTATATATTATCCTATGACGATACCGTGCGTATATTTTTGGTAATTAATTAAACTATTCGTGCTTCAATAAACTCAAAATTTACAGAGACCATAGCTAAGAGATGTGTTTATAGGTATCTAGAATTTTAGAAATGTAACTCAAATCCTTCGCGAGATATTAGAGTTAGTACACTATCCTACGGGCCATAGCCGCGCGGATATATTATCCTATGACGATACCGTGCGTATATTTTTGGTAATTAAACTATTCGTGCTTCAATAAACTCAAACTTTACAGAGACCATAGCTAAGAGATGTGTTTATAGGTATCTAGAATTTTCGAAGTGTAGCTCAAATCCTTCGCGAGCTATTAGAGTTAGTACACAATCCTACGGGCCATAGCCGCGCGTATATATTAGCCTATGAGCGATACCGTGCGTATATTTTTGGTAATTAATTAAACTATTCGTGATTCAATAAACTCAAAATTTGCGGGGATTATAGCT